GCATGCGGCGCAAAGAATGTCATTGGGCCTAGAGCGCTAAAATTCGGTAGGAGTACAGGAGGCGGCCCAGTCGAACCTTTAATGAGTCATTATTTTCAAATGATTTGCAACAGATCGAGACTCCAATTACGGGCATAAGCGTTGGCACATACTGAATACCACTTGAAGGCTCCGTTATTCCCCTTGAAAGTTTTATGTTCCGAAAAGTATCATATGTTCCGAAGAAGGAGCGGACCATTTGCTGATCATTACAACTCTATCATGAGAAGGAGGGAAGCCGGTCGCCCCGACTGGTGTTACTAGATTGCGACGTATTCAGTTCAAAATAGAAGGAAATAATTCGAAGAATAAGAACGGCGTTGCACAGGTATAGCCTAAAGAACATACTACGAATGGTCAAGATCTCACTGGAAAACCTGGAACAGCCACTGGTTTGAAACCGCTGCTACGATCGAGTTTGCCTGACTCCCATTCGCCTGATCTGCCCTAATGGACAGGAGGGTGACTGCATGGCTCCAGGCATGATCTACCTGATCACATGCAATCTATGTGAGGATGAACATATTTGGGGGAGACTGGGTGGCCCGTGTGCGCTAAGGTCAAAGGACGCCTGCAGGGCTTTCATTGAATGAGGCTGGAGACCCTCTGAGTGCTCACCGTATAGAGTCCCATGAAGGTGCGGTTTGGGATTACAGTGAGAAACCTGTTGCGAGAACCCCTCACTCTAACGCGGAAGACACTTGAAGCATTCTTCATCAGTGCCAGGTCCCCAAAAATGAATAAGAAGGACGAGCGCTAGAGAACTTGCGCCTTTTTCTGGCCTATGTAGATTTTGTTTGTCCCGGTATCGCGGCGAGAGGGACAAGACATATCATCTGAAGTCAGCCCTGAGCCCCTGTTAGTTAGTTTAGTGGTGGTCTACTGCAAAACCGGTTTTCTCTGGGTGGGTGAAAAGGGTTCGTGATTATCATGACTGTTTAAAAACACTGGATCTAAGAAACTGTTCTTTGAAGTTTTCCTTGTTGAACAAGGGTTGAATAGCGATTATCTTAGAGTTTCCAGACACTAAAGAAGGTGATAAAGCTGAAGGATGAGTCGAATAAGAGTTAATTTATCATCTTATTTGCAGGCTTCATATGAGATTTATTAAAGCTATCCAAACAGTGATCTGAAAATCTTCCCAAGATCTATTGTGATTTCGATTCGGTCTTGTTTATTTCCATCTCTTCCTTGAGTAGAACCTTAAAGGCACCGCTAGCAAAAAATGTAGTTTACCCTTTTTTGACGGAAATTGATAGAACTACTCTAGAATAAAGCGATAACAGCGAAAAAACCGCAGAAAAAGACAAACAAAAAGAATTACAAAGGGTCAAAAAAAGAGCTGGAAAGGGGGTTGGACGAGTTTCACATTGAAATAACGGTGGTTAGGGGGTGTTCGGCCAAATTGGCAAGTTGCCAGACCAGAGACGCAGCGTGTTGTCTG